GTTTTTAGCTCAGCAGTAGAGTTCAGAGAGGCGGTTAGAACGTATGGTGCATTGAACGGCTATAATGTGAAGTTTACGACGAACGAGGAGAGATGAGTACAAGGTGTTTGTAAACTTGGGTGTAAATGGAGGATATGGGCTTCCTCAGTTGATGACACTAACACATTGCTGGTGAAATCATACATATCGGACCATACATGCAGCCGTGACCAATATAATAGACACTGCAACTACAAGTTCCTGACACATCGTTACCTTGAGCAGTTCAAAACGGACCCTGACTGGAAACAGAGCTAATTTTAGCGACAGTTAAGAAGGACCTACGCACAAACATAAGCAGAAACGTTGCATGGAAGATGAAAAGGTATGCTAAAGAAGTATTAGTTGGGACTATGCAAGACCAGTTCGAACGATTGAGGTCTCATGCAGCCAAGGTACTCCGGACAAATGTTGGTTCCACTGTCATCATAGCTTTGCAGCAGCAAGTGTTTCAGGGGATGTATATATGCTTCAACGGTTATAAGATGGGCTTTACAAATGGTTGTAGAAGAGTGGTTGGTGTTGATGGTTGTCATTTACGGGGTTGTTTTGGAGGAATTTTGTTGAGTGCCGTTGGCTTAGACGGTAACGATTGTATTTACCATGTGGCTTATGCCGTTGCTTAAAAGGAAAACACACCAACTTGGCGATAGTTTTTGAACTATCTTGTAGAGGATATTGAGATTGGAAATGGAAGAGGATGGACCTTGATGACGGATAGGCAAAAAGGTCTGCAAAATGTGACAAATGAGTTATTTCCTGAGGCCGAGCATAGATTCTGTGTGCGACACATGTACACAAATTTTTTTAATGCGGGTTTCAAGGGAAAGACTTTAAAAAATTATCTTTGGAGTGCTGCAAAGTCAACCACTATCCCTGACTATAAACATTGGATGCAGCAAATTCATAACATCAGTGAGGACGCATATAAATGGCTAATGGAGAGGCCTCCACAAGAATGGAGTAGATCACATTTCTCTCTTCATGCAAAGAGCGATATATTATTGAATAACATATGCGAAATGTTCAACAAGACCTTGAGGAGTGATAGGGAGAAGATGATTCTGACAATGCTCACTTCAATTCAACTGATCTTCATAATAAGAATTAGAAAGCGTCGAGATGCGATGATGAGGTACAATGGTAGGTTGTGTCCAAAAATTAGAAAAAAGCTTCACAGGAATGCTGAGCGCTCACGTGAATGCACATTGCACTTCTCTGGCGGGCCGAAATGGCAAGTAGAATGTAGCTCCGGCACATATGTCGTTGATCTAC